ACATTTTATTCTATGACATAAAATCAGTAATACCCCTTGTGATTTTTTTTAATCTTCTACTTGTCTTGAAAAACGTGGATGCAAACAAATAGCTAAATGGACAACAGAGGTTGCCAGGACATTAAGCGTCACCATGCCGTACAAGTAAACTCATCTACTCACTAGTCTGGTTTTACTCATTGTGTTTATAATTGTGATGTGCCTCATTGTGTTTATAATCACGCTCTTGCAATCTATTCTAACTTAAGCTTTCAGGGAAAATGTTTTTTAAATAAAAAGTGAAAGAGTTGCCAGAAGCTTAATGGTGGTAACGTTGCTGTCATGCGACCACGGTCTAGTTTGTTTTTTTAGTTTTGGCAATGGTACTTAGGCTCCAAAAAAAAAATTTGTGTTAATTTCTGAAGACTTTCATAATGAACAAAACATCTAAGAATCGTGACCTGTTGTTGGTCAAATAGTTTATTTTCTGCAATAATCCAAAAGCCAGTGGAAAAATCATATTTGTTTTATTGTCGAGGGAACCAGGGTGATGCTAACTTCTGGGTTGGCCAACAAAAATACATCACTGCAGCACCCTTTTGGCACATAATTTCTATCATGAGAATCATGTAGATTAAAACAGTAGTAGGCTAAGAATTGATCCTTGGGGAACACCACAACTTATAGATTGATTTGAGGATTTGTTTCTATGAAAATAAGCAAACTTCTTTCTGATTCAGATCAAATGAACATGAATGTCTGAGAGCAGATGAGAAGACATTACAGGCCCATAAATCAACAAAAAGGAAATGCTATACTGGTACTGTCATAACTATTCAAAGGACAAAATGCAGACTCGTATAGCTACTTGAAAGTACACATAACTGTAGCCAAGGGGCAATGTCTGTAGTATTTATTAGGATTTAGACATGAGTTTCTTGAGGATTGGGGTGAAGTAGTAGTTGTGTAAGAACAGTGCTGGAGGTGTTAGATCATGAATGAGGTGACGCCAAGAATGTTAGATCAGGAATGAAGAGACAGGGAGTCCAGGTTTGAGATGAAGAGTCTTTTATTAATGCCGCTTACTAGTCAAGTGTCAGTTGAGAAGTGGCCAAATGGCCAAGAACACAGAAATCACAACTACATCTCCCTCTCTGCCTGCCCAAGCATTTGCATACTTCCCAGTTCCCAGGTGAGCCACATGTACTTGTTTATCAGTTCTTAACAGAAACATACAGAATGTAGTTCATCCTTGCATATACAACTATGATTATGTTACACAGTATTAGAAGAACAAAGACTGAAAATATTAAAAGCATATACAGTATGTTCTCACAGAGGCAAAGATATCTGTTAATCATGAGGGATGTTAGTAGCTTATACTACAAATTCTGGGAAATGTTCAGCAATTTATTCCATTTTAATTCTGCTTTAAATTCCAGTTCGATTTACAGTTTTGTTCGATAACTCAGGAATTGAATTGCAATACATTAGTTTATTTCTGAATGGCACACAAGGATGTCCCTGAAGGACACAAGACAAGCTTCTTGTAAAACTGCTCATAGTGTTTATGGCCTGAAACGCTTGAAACGCTCTGCAGCGTTTCAAGGAAAGGATTGAGACAGTATTGAGAGAGTAGTCTTAAAGGAGGAGTGGTAATTTGCAGAGACAACTATTAGGTTGATTTCTTTGAAATGTGTAAACAACACTGCCAAAAAAATGTCAGAATATTAAGAAAATTGGAGACTTGGAAGTTACTCGGAAGAAAGAATGTTTCATTTGCATGCAAGAATGAAAAGTTGAGGTTTATGATAGAGATTATTATCATGTAATCTGAGAATGTGTGACAGGGATGAAAAACAAGGCCGAGGTTTATTAAATATTTTTTCCTTGGGTCAAGTACATACTGTACTAACATAATGGCATGCTCTAGTTGACCTAGTGCTGTTGGAATGTGTCCCTTAGAGCATTTGCTTCACTTTATTGCCAATAGCTTTTAAAATATAACCTGTTTCTTATCAGTCAAGTCATCTGAGAATTAGTGTGTGAATGTTTATGAAACAGGAAACAAACCCCACTGAGTGTTACATTCTGATGAAGCCATAGAAGCCTCACCTTGAAGCTTACTGGAAGGAAAAGACTGTTGTTTTGGATGCTATACAATAGTATGCTACAGTATTTAAGAATACTTGCTATTTAAGAATACTGTATATGAATATTGTGAATAGTTTTAAGGTATCAATGGGGTAAAAATGTTTTTTGTTTTTTAAAGCCATAAAGCCAAAAATCACATTGTCCTTGGTGTGAGAACTAATGTGTCAGAAAAGCTATTATCTTACATAAAATTAATAAAGCATAAGAAGTATCCACTTAAAAACACATCAAAAGTTTGTCTTTAATTTTTGAGAAATATGATTTTGATAATAACTACAAATCAACGTTTGGTGCCAAAGCTAGACTGAGGAGGTCTATAATGAAGAAAGCTGTTAGCATTCCCATTCATCTCAATGGCAGTTTGTTTCTCTGCTGGTGTAAGATGTGTGTGACGTAAAACTTATGTGATCTTGCCCACAATTCTGGATACACTTGTTTATGAGCCATGACACCCAAGTCATAAAAGTGAGTAAGACTATTCAATGAACAGGAAAATATGTCATAGCAATGCTGATTGTTTGGTGGCACCATGATAATACAAAGTACCAAGCCCTTCACTTTCAACTGTCATGAGCAATGCAATCAAGTGCAGTAGACGGAAAAAAAATGTCAGAATACACTTTAAATAAATTATTTTAAATGGCAATCGAGAAGATTGTCCACAGAGGGTGTAGTTATAGCCTTCACCAGTTGGGGCTAAAAGGCCCATGCTAACTAGCCAAACTCAAACTCCATGAGCTACCCTCTACACGTTTACAGCATGGAGTGTTTTATATTATTTTTTGTTTATGCTGTGCTGGCTATTATGGCAGACATCTTGGATTTATACTGGTTGCAGAATTACGAAATTGTTTCCATTATATGCCACTGTAGAAATTTGCAGTCTGCATAAACAGACATTTATGAGCACTGATTGCTCAAATTACACATTTAAGCAAAGCTTTCCAAAAAAAAAAAAATCACAGTTCCATGCTCACTACATCACGGACACCAGTATTTTAATTATTCAAAAAAGATAAATTACTGTCTGACCATCTGAGATTATATTTATATTATATTTTTTGGTAGTATTACAGCACACTGTGACTGTATATTAACATTGTTTGTTGTTTGCTTGTGCAACTAATAGAGTGTTTGAACCCAGAAAATGAGATGTGTGAAGCCAGACTTGAGTAAATAGTAATATTCAGCCGGTCATGTGGTCATGTGGCAGCCCCCATATGAGACAACCCACTCCACTAAGTTAAAGGGGTCATATGATGTTGCTAAAGAGAACATTATTTTGTGTATTTGGTGTAATGAAATGTGTTTATGTGGTTTAAAGTTCAAAAAACACATTATTTTCCACATACTGTACATTATTGTTTCTCCTCTATGCCCCGCCTTTCTGAAACGCGTCGATTTTTTACAAAGCTCACCGGTCTGAAAAGCGAGGTGTGCTGTGATTGGCCAGCTATCTAGTGTGTTGTGATTGACCGAATACCTCAAGCGTGTGACGGAAATATTATGCCCCTCACCATACTGTGATGCCCTGTCCGGCCGGAGCGACGAGACAAAAACATTAAAACCCATTATAAACGAGGCATTTGTTGCATGCAGTGGGGACATAATTACGGATTATAATGACTTATATTGTCTTTTTACGCGTTGCGTTGCAATCACACACGGAGTGCTAGAGTGAGTGGAGGCCAGTGGGGTTGAGAATGGCGCGGCCAGTGGATTCGACGAAGGAGCGTCCGGAGGGCTAGCGCCAACCACATGTGACGACCCCGGGCTGGACTCCGCTTCGTCCACGGTGAAAGCCGATCCGGCGATCCACAGCGCGAAGTTGATGTATTTCCTCAGCGACCAGCACAGATCAGCTCCAGGCATGACGAAGCAGATATCGTCCTCTTTTGGAAGGCCAAACAAAGTAGTTTCGCTTTCACAACGAATCACACAGCGCCTTCACGACATGGCGGCGGCAACAACAATACTACAGCCAGAATAAAAGAAAAGTTACGCTTTCTTTGAGTGCACATTTAGGTGGCGTTATGCAAATCTTCCCACACAGTGATGTAGATATGTGGGGGCGTGTTAGAACGAGGCGTTTTAGGTAGGCGTGGCTGACTCTTAACTTTTATATAGAATATCTCTTTGGATTTGAGACTTTAGTCTTTACAACTTTACAGATCTTCTTTATGCACCAAGAGCTTGTAACACTCAAAAGAGAAAGGAAAAATTTAAATGGCATCATATGACCCCTTTAAGACAGGTTGTTAATGGGTGCTCTCTTAAATCTGCCAGCATTTTGACATGTTTTTAGCCTTTAACCTATAGGAGTGTTTGATTGATTATATTTTAATTTTATTAAGGTTTACTGCCAGAATCTAGTGAATTCACACATATCAAGGTTTTAAACTTTAACCAGACATGGCCCAAATTGTGTTAAGCTTAAATAAAAGCACATACAATGTTTAGTTTCACCGCCTGAGAATCCTTTTCCCAAGGTTAAGGCACTTCTTTCACTGACAGCACAGAAAAATACATTTTCTAGACATTTTTAGCTTTCCAAATTCTGTACCTTATTTGTAAAAAAAAAGTGCAGTTGTGCTGTGTCTAGCGTGAAACTCACATTACATTAAGGTAGATGTTTAACGTATAGGTCAGAGTTTCCATTACTCACCCAATAATAAAAATCGTAATGTGTCACGTACAGACAGAAGGTGGGGGTGGGCCACGCCCTAAAGGCTTACGTGCGTTAATGACGTCACGCGGCGATAAATATGTATGGATAAGCCACGCCCACACGGCGTTGCTCATTGGCTGTGAGCTCGTGTGGAAGGTGCGGTCCTGTAATCTAGGAGTGGGCGTAGTTTGTCATTCGACGGTTTGGGAGGGTACGGGAAATCCAGTGAGATTACTCAAGTGAAGCCGGAGACACAGCACACATCGCCGGCCTGCCATGACGCAAAACTCCGCTAGCAAGCTTCTGAATGGAGACACCGTGCACCGGACGAAACAAGACAAGAAAGCGGGCGGAAATGGGTTCGTGAAGAACCACTGCTTGTTCCAGCAGAAGCGATACCGCCGCCCGGCGGAGAAGGTGAGGCCGCCTCCTGCGCTACATACACCCAGAAACACGCTCCAGGGTACACACAGGGGCCGCTTAGACTGCTACTATGAGTTAAATTAGAATAGAAATAATTCTGTTTCGTATTGGTGTTTTATTGCGTTTCCGAGTGTGATTTCGGAAAGGACCGTTCATCTGGTTTAAGTGGGTGTGTAGGGAGGGGGTGCTCGGGTGTGTACTTCTGTGAAGTTTTCATGTGTTCAAACATTTAACCGTTATATTCCACAGATTTAAATGTACGAAATGCTATTTAATGGCTTTCAGTTCATAAAAAAAAAAATTCCTTTTAGACCTTATTTATTAAAAATGTCCTTGTCTTTTGACACGGTTAACCCTTTTAGTTGACATGTTTATTTGTTTGTTTCTTTTACTCGGCGGCAATTAAATTACGATGGCAAAAATAATAAGAATGATATGATGATATTAAAATTTTAGTTCATCAAATCACGATTGACTGAATGATGCTAACTGAAGATGCAACATTACACACCACTGCTGGAGAACATTTGTCTAATTTTGACACAAGCATTATAGTTATTGAAATGTAGCCCCTTGTGGCGACAAGCCCATCATGGTCTCCTCATTACAGTGCCTGAAGCCCCTTCAGTTGTGACTAAATGTACTATATAGCAAATTCACTATAACCTAAAGTGCCCTGTTGCTTTTGCTTAACAGCTATGATACTAAATCCTATAATAGGGATGTAAGGATCCACCGCGAGCCGGTTGAAAATCGATACAGATATGTTTATACGTTATTTCCTTTTCATCTCGCCTCTGTATAATTCATACTAAAGCAGCGTTCATAAGCGCTGCGCTGCTTTGTTTACAGCGGTAACCAAGGAAACGCTGTATATGGCTGCTGTTCCATGAGCGCCACCTGCTGTCAGAGAGTGAACCTGCGGCTCATTCAGAGCTTCTGCTCTTTGTTTCGTGCAGATGTTTTATGTAGTATAGTTTCACAAAACTAAAGTCAGAGCATTCTGTTTTTGTTTTAAAATTTCATGCAATCTAAAATTATGCAATCTAATTTATATTAAAAAAACTGCTCATGCTGCATGTGTTCAGCATCTTTGTTTGGATTGGGATTCAAATGCAGTGGTTGCCTCTAATTTTGAATGTAAAGAGCACAGGTAGCCTTTGTTTATATGAAGAGATTATTTTTTTTTGTCTTAAGCAAATTTATTAAGTGTCATCCTTCTGCTAGAAGAAACTGTACCTGACCTGCAAACTGAAGCCGTGCTTGATCTTTATCGGTGTTGTGCACTTCTGGTGAACTGCTGTTTCATGTGACACTGGTGGCAAGAATTATTAAATTTCTATGATATAAAAAAAAATAATATCATAAAGACCTTATTTAAAGCAAAAATAACTATATAGTGATATATATATATATATATCACTATATAGATATTTTTACTATATAGTTATTCAAAACCGATGAATATATATATATATATATATATTAGAGTATTAGAGTAGTGGATTTTACCGATAGCTAGGTTGGACCACACTGGGCTTCTATTTTAGAACACTGCATGATTATCTAATCAAAAAAACAATGCAAGTCACACTCTGGACAAAAGCGCAGCGACGTGTTCTCGGAGAAGTCACACACCAGAAGCGTCACTTTCAATTCAAGCAGCGGTCTAAACTGTTTATTTAATCACCAAACGGACATAAGTTTGCTTCAAGAATGAACAATGTGGCATAAATGAGTTTGAAGTTCGGTGTTTAAAAAAACAGGGGAAAGAGAAAGTGCCCAACCCAGAAAACTATCGGCATTGATTTTTGCCGATAACCAATAGTCCGCCAATCAACTATCGGTGCCGATTAATCGGCAAAACCGATATATATATATATATACTAGGGCTGCACGATAAATCACATGCGATATTTAACGCGCATCTTATCAGTAAAGCCGGTTCTGCGATTTTTTTGGGCAGCTCGTCAGTGAACAACAGCTCTGTGTAGTTAATGCTGCTCAATGTGAAAGCCCGCAGGTGATGGAGATTTACCCCTGATTAAAGAACCGACTTTCTGACAAGATGCGCATTAAATATCGCATGCGATTTATCGTGCAGCCCTAATATATATATATATATATTGTTACCGTGAAATAAAATGACAAGATTTTGGTCATATCGCCCACCCCTACTTCAGATCTTCCAATATTTTCACATTCAAATGTAAATAATTACTGATCTGTTAAACATTAAGTAATGTTTGTTCATGACTTAATAATAAAAGTTGAGGTTATTATATAGTGCCCACTTCTAATCATTCATGAAAAGCATTAGCAGCCTATGACATTGAGAGGAATGGTTATGGGATCAAATAAATTGCTTGTGCTTAGCATTTTAGTCGTCTCTGTTTGTATTGACACAAGCATGGAAAATAACTGCAGTGTTCTGTCATGTAACTGGAGATCAGCGCTTTGTTTTTTGCAACCTGAGGATGTTTGCCCAGAGCACTTCTGCGCTCCATGGGAGCAACAACTTTTCCAAGTACATGGGCGTGTTGTCAAGCTAGTTTTTCTTGTTCCTTATCATCAAAAGGGACCTATGGGTCAGTTGTGCAGTAATTTTATATCGTTTTTTTTTTAAAGGTTACATTAAATGTAAAATGCTAAATGTGCAAGCACATATGCAAACCATGTAAACCAGGTCTTGTCAGTATGTTGATTATTAATAATATACAGTATTAAATATTTTAATTTCAGTAAAAATTTTTTAAAAAGTTAAGATTTTTTTTCTGCTAATCAGGTCAAACAATCTGTTTCAGTTAATCGATTCAAAAATTGATTTTGAACAGTTTGTTTGCTCAAAAATGGGATTTGTTATTTACTAAAATGTTTTGGTAAAATTTATTTCTATCTAAATATTGCTGTTAATTACCATGTATTGTTATTAGTGTTTGTTTATTTTATTTATTATTATTATTATTATTTTTGGCTGTTCACGTTTTTAAAATTTGGCCAATATCAGATTTAAGTGTACATATTCCCAAATATGTACTTTTTCTATTCCCAAATCAGAATAGAACAGATCTGTCACAGAAAAGTCACTGTTAAGGAAAGAAAGAAAGAAATACATACAGATTTTGGGCCACTTTTGGGAGCAACAACTTTTCCAAGTACATGGGCGTGTTGTCAAGCTAGTTTTTCTTGTTCCTTATCATCAAAAGGGACCTATGGGTCAGTTGTGCAGTAATTTTATATCGTTTTTTTTAAAGGTTACATTAAATGTAAAATGCTAAATGTGCAAGCACATATGCAAACCATGTAAACCAGGTCTTGTCAGTATGTTGATTATTAATAATATACAGTATTAAATATTTTAATTTCAGTAAAAAATTTTTAAAAAGTTAAGATTTTTTTTCTGCTAATCAGGTGAAACAATCTGTTTCAGTTAATCGATTCAAAAATTGATTTTGAACAGTTTGTTTGCTCAAAAATGGGATTTGTTATTTACTAAAATGTTTTGGTAAAATTTATTTCTATCTAAATATTGCTGTTAATTACCATGTATTGTTATTAGTGTTTGTTTATTTTATTTATTATTATTATTATTATTTTTGGCTGTTCACGTTTTTAAAATTTGGCCAATATCAGATTTAAGTGTACATATTCCCAAATATGTACTTTTTCTATTCCCAAATCAGAATAGAACAGATCTGTCACAGAAAAGTCACTGTTAAGGAAAGAAAGAAAGAAATACATACAGATTTTGGGCCACTTTTGCCTGTTTTCTGAATGTAGCCTTTGTCTGGGGGGAAATGTCTCTTAAACCATTTCAGAAAAAGTAGTCCTATATTAATATAGGGATATATAATGAATAGCATCAAAATATTTAATCCAGACCTACTGTAAATAGTTTCAGTAGTTTGAGTTAACATTTCCAGTCCTTCTTAAAAGAAGGTTTGTCTGCCTTGTTTCAGGAAGGAACTATGACTGACTGACTTCGAAACTGAACAAATATAAGATTTTCCTGTATTTAGCAATGGAGGTTTTCCCGCAAAGTCTTTCACACTTAGTGCTGCCACAAACTGTGTTAACCCTGACTTAACTGAGCTTTACGCAAGAAGGGATCAAGCCATTCCTTACCGGAAGGGCAGATTATAGAGTGGATGCAGCTGAGAGAAGCATGAGTTTGATCACATGCTGCTGTTAAGCAGTGTGAGTGTAAAGGCAAACTCTGGTTCATTTGCTTGACTGGAGTAGTAAATGGAGTTCTGCTCTTATGATCATCTCTGGTGTCATGTTTAAAGCTGTGAGCAGTTTCAGTCCCAACTACAGTATCACATTTTCCATAGAGAATGCGAGTATGGGTGGCTACCGGTGTATTGTTATGCAATTACTAAAATGTTCAAAGTGTTGTTATATAGTTGCTTATTATTGACCCAACTTAAAAGAGCCCATCCCTAAATTTCAGCATTATTCTGGTCTCTATGTATATTCTTTCAGTGCTCCACCTGTACTGAAATGATTTGTCTTTAATCAAGTGTGGACAAAAATCTACTGTACTGTTATCTGTTTTTTATAAGACTAGATATTCATTTTTCAATGTAGATTCTCTTCATATGAATTCCTCCACCCCCACCCCCACCCCCCCACAGAACCATCATGCTTCATGCACTTCGCTTTATAAAAAGCCATTTGTGGAGTCGTTTGAGGAGACGCCGCTGCTGGTTGCCGTCCTCACCTACATGGGCTACGGCATCCTTACCATTTTTGGCTATCTGCGAGACTTCCTGAGGGACTGGAAGTTTGAGAAATGTCATCTGGCCAGAGAGAGAGAAGAACAGAAGGTACGGTTATAACACATTTGTGGTGCTTGTCTGACTTTTATTTATTTAATGCTGCCCTGAGTAATGTATTTCACATAACAGATGTTAACTGTATTTACACTAGAGACCTTGTTTACAAGTTTAAATAAGATTCGTAAAACTGTGCATTGCCACCTAGATGGTCAATGGTTATTTACTGCTGTTTTGTGATACTTGTTCACGAGTCCCTTGTTTGTCCTGAACAGCTAAACTGACTGCTGATCTTTAGTTTTAATGCAGCTTCACAGTAATAAACAGATATGAGACCAATTCATATTCTGCTGCAAACCAGCTCTAAAAAGACAACAGTGTTATTATTCAGCTCCTGTCAGTTCAGTGTTGGTTCAGTTCAGTTCATTAACTGTGTAACGTCTAGGGCTGCACGATTAATCGAATGCGATTGTCATGCGCATTTTGATAGTAATGGCGGTTCTGTAATTATCAGTAAATCATCATCACGTGCTTTCAGATGGAGCAGCATTTACTACACATAGCCGTAGTTCACTGACAAGTTACGCAAAAAAATCGCAGATGCGATTCTGAAATCGTCCGAGATAGTGACAGCTGTTTGCATAGCTTCTCGGTGAACTACGGCTCTGTGTAGTAAATGCTGCTCCATCTGAAAGCATGTGAAAATACCACATTTAATAACATATTTTTACTCCAAATTCACTTCATAATGTCAGTCGAGTGTTTGAAATAAATCCTTCTGTGAGATGATGTGGCTTCTCACACAGAATAAGGCACACAACATATTTCATAGTATTTAAGTGGTGATAAAGGCATTGCATTATAAATATACTTTATTTTAATGAAAATTATAATAATAACTCAGATAAACCGTATATTGCTGTAGTCATGTGTTTATTAGTCACGTTGAATCAATGAAAGCAGTTGAATCTTCTGTTTATTCAGCTGCATTTTCTGGGTTTCTTCTGCGAGGCGTATTTGGAGTTTCAGCGCGAGAGCGCCCTCTGGCCTTTGGATGATTATAATAATAACTCAGATAAACCGTATATTGCTGTAGTCATGTGTTTATTAGTCACGTTGAATCAATGAAAGCAGTTGAATCTTCTGTTTATTCAGCTGCATTTTCTGGGTTTCTTCTGCGATGTGTATATGGAGTTTCAGCGTGAGAGCGCCCTTTGGCCTTTGGATGGAGATTTACTGCTGATCACAGAACCGTGCTTCACTGAAAGATACGCATGACAATCGCAGCTTCTGTCGAATCGCGATCTCGATTCCATTTCGATTTATCGTGCAGCCCTAGTAAAGTCCATCAATAATGAAATTAATTAAATTCAGCTATTAGCAGGTCTACAGAAGATAACCATGTTGTTATTTACCTCGAGTCAGTTTAGTGTTGATTCAGTTCAGTTTCGTAACAGTGATGTGAAGTCAGTTTAGCTATAAATAGCTATATATAGCTATCAGGCTCAGTCAGGGGTCAGTTCTCCTCTGGCAAAATGAGCAAACACGTTGTGATGCAGCCTGGAATCATAAATCACACAAAGTCATATTTGTGGATTGATATTATTCAAATTTAAGTTTAATGTATGCTCTGTTCCCAGGATTTTGTTCCTCTGTACCAGGACTTTGAGAACTTCTACACCAGGAATCTGTACATGAGGATCAGAGACAACTGGAACAGGCCCATACGCAGCGTCCCTGGAGCCAAGATGGACCTTGTGGAGCGGGTCACACCTGACTACAACTGGACCTTTGAGTGAGTGTTAGGCCCAATCCCAATTCTACCCCTTAGCCCTTCCCCTTTCCCCTACCCCTCCGTTTTGCGCGTTCACGTGAAGGGGTAGGGGTGTCTCAATTCTCTTTTGGTTGGAGGGGTAGGGGTAAGGGGAAGGGCCAGACAGCCCTTCAAACGAAGGGGTATGAATTATCTCAGCGTAAACCGGCTTCAGGGGCAACATGGCTGTCCGAGCGCACAAAAAGACACATAAATGTAAGCATTTTTGGCATTAAGTATTGCCAATTCGAGAGAGAGAGAGATGAAAGATGCGTGTATACGCGTTTCTCTTTTTAGAGTGAGTTTACTTAAAAAAAAACAAAACAGCGATTTTATCCTCTTGTTGCTGGAAAATATAATGTAGCGATTCAGTATTGAAACTGTTATTAATAAAAGTCGCGGGGCAGCGTTGACAAGTTTCTTTTCACCTGGATATGTGAGCTGCGCGATCTCCGATATATATATGTGTGTGTGTGTGTGTGTGTGTGTGTGTGTGTAAGCAGTGCATTAATATAGAACGGTAATTAAAGGCTCTAATGCACACCAGTATAGGTGTGTGTATTGTAGGAGCTAGACGACGTATGATGACGTGTGACGGCATAGTAGTGGTGTCCCAATTCTTAGGGGAATATTTTCACCCCTACCCCTTGACACTCTGTTTCAAGGGAACCGGGGAGGGGGTATAAAATAGAATTGGGATTGGGCCTTACACTGCGCCAACACACCAGGATGTTGGATCCAGCTTTCCAGATCCCCTCAGAAGATATCTGTTTTGACTGATATCCAAACTAATCAGCGGGGTTTTGTCTGATACCCAAACCCTGTTAACAGAAAGCCTGATATCCAAACTAGTCAGCAACTACTTATTCCATCAGTCCAAGAGACAGGACAGATGTAATTACAGGACGGTATTTTCAAATACAAGTACCATGTAAAAACATGTATATACACAATAAGTGCATTGTATCAAATATTAATTTAAATGTAAGTACATAGTATTTAAAGGTGGGGTAAGCGATTTTTCAAAAACGCTTTAGAAAACTGATTCGGGCCGAATAGCAAAACAAACTTGTAGCCAATCAGCAGTGAGGGGCGTGTCTACTCATGATGTGGAGGAGAGAGAGTTCAGTGCACAGGACGGACATTAGCGAGCCGAGCGACAGAAAGATAGAGATGACGGATAAAATACAAAAGAGGAAAACGTCTGCGGAACAAAAGAAGGCTTAAGGCAAGAAGTAGGACCTGTGTAAATATCGGATTAGCTTTCCAGTGCTGGAGAGAACTCAAGGAGCGGAAGGCCTGCCATCGGACGCCAAGGTTGCTTTGTTTCTTCTCGATAGGTGAGTAACACCGTGTCTGCGCCGCAACAGCTAAAGTCTGTCTAGTACACTGGACGTGACAAAGCGGCCTTTGAAAATCATTTGAAATTTGTGTCAATACGTCATGAATAGAACGCAGCAGCAGTTTTCTGTTGGGGATTTGTCGTGTCGTGCCACGCCACATCCAGTGTAGACCATAGATATGTATATATATCTATGGTGTAGACAGCATCACTGATTATAATGAGTTCCATAGTATTTTGTCGTGCCGCACCACTCGCGTCCGGTGTAGACACGGTGTAACATTGGTTTTGCTTTGTTTCACAGAACTAATCGTTGCCTGGGTTGCGCATGTTTAAATGGGGCGGAACTATCAAAATAGGGGCGAGACCCTTTTGGGGTAGGGGCGTGTTTGTTTTGGTGATTTCAAATGTCAACATTGGCTACCAGAAATCGCAACCCCCACCTTTAAGGACAAATCTGAAAATTAAATAAAATTATTCAAATGAGTATATAAATTACCTGTCAGAAGTTTGGATTTTTTAATTGTAATGATATGTTAATTATCATTTTAATTATAATACAGCTGCTGAAAACAGAAAGTGATTTTAGATTGTAATAATTTTTAACTATATTGCTGTTTTTACTCTTATTTTTTCTCAAAAATAAATGCAGACATTTCTTTCAAAAACCTTTTATTTATTATTTCTTGTTTTGTTTTTGTTTTTTTCATTGTTCTTTCTTCCAGACACACAGGAAAGGTTCTGAAAGATGTTATTAATATGGGCTCGTATAACTACCTCGGCTTTGCTGAGAATACCGGCACGTGCGCTGATGCTGCTTCTGAGTGCGCTGTGAAATATGGCGTGGGGGTGTGCAGCTCCAGGCAAGAGACAGGTAATAACTACTCACTCTCTCAGGGTTTACAGCCACTACTTCTCTGGTATAATATGACACTTTTTGGGTAGGTTTTAATGGATTTTAAAGGACCATATATTTATATAAGTCCTCTTATAAAATTAATCAAGATTTGACCTTGTCATGCTAATTTTCCACCCTCTCACTGACACGTAGAATATTTATTCATATATTCAGTTCTTATTGAGTCATTCATCCCACCAGGTGATGATTTGCTTTTATGGTAGAAAAGAAATGTGCGGCACTATGCAAAACTTATTTCTTATCTAATTTGTATCATTGTGTCCCTGGTGTGTGATGTTTACATAATGGCAACATAAAAAGAAGGAAACAGTTCTGTTATTATACAAATCTGTTTTTGCATCATTAAGATATTTGCTCTCTTGCAGGAAATCTTGATAAGCATGAAGAGCTGGAGAAGCTGGTGGCCAGGTTTTTAGGGGTGGAGTCATCCATGGTCTTTGGAATGGGCTTTGCTACAAATTCCATGAATATTCCTGCGCTCATGGGAAAAGTAAGTTGTTTTAAACACAAACATCAAGTCGAATGGAATGCTAAGAATTTCCTTTTTAAATAAAAGCCAAGTAAAGTGGCAAAGATAATTGTGGATCGGGAGTTCTGTTTTTGTTCTTTTATTGAAATACTCCCAATGATCATATCTGTTCCTTCACAGATTTCTTTGGCTCACACAGGAAATTTGTCATAACTCAGTCACGTAATATGTTATTGAAAGCCATTATGCTTTAGAATATATGCACACATTCCTGGTTTCATTCACAACAGATTTGATTACTTTTGAGGAATTCCAACTTGTCCCCCATATACAAAATTAAATATTGTTTCCCTACCTGGAAATCCTGATAAAATCAGGGTAAAAGATGCTTTAATGGTCTTCAAAGTAGAGGTCATATGCCGATTAATCTGCAACGATAGTTGATTGCCGGAAATATCGGCTATTTGCAAAAATCCATGCCACTAGTTTTTCTGGGTTGCGTCCATTGCTGGAGCGGCTGAGAAGCTCCGCTGTCATTATACAGTACGAGAGCAGCCTCTAGAGGCAGAATCACTGACACCACATGCTGTTTGTTTTGACACGACACTGCTCACTGCACAGAGCGGAGACTTCAAATGTGGATTTAAAACAGACAACAAAACGGTGTGTATACAGTATACTATAGTGCATGTTTTCATATCATTACTACGTAATTACTTTGCTGACTAGATGTTGAATTAGTGGAGAAAGATCAGCAGTTTGCTTTCAAGGCTGAGAAGACACGAACATTAGTATTACCTCAAGCAGCTAAAACAATGTGACCAAAACACACGCAAGTCCGTTAATCCCCTGAAGCGCCAGGGAAGATGAGCCACTGTGACGAAGACGCCGCCCCTCGCGCCCCGGACCAGAGAGGGGAGTGTGTTCGGCCGCCGGACTCCGCCCCATACCTGGACCCCTCCTTTCTGAATGCTGCCTTTCCTTCACAATTCCCCAGCACAACGAGGACACCAGATCCCCTGTTTATTTTGGACACTATTTCCCCTTATGACACTCTATTCCCGTTTTGGACATTTTATGTTTTATTTACTGTTAAATAAAAGCCTCTCCGAGGCCTGACGCCACACCCACTGTATCTGTCGTTTGCTCCTCCCGCCACACACTGACCCAAATGTTTAATGTCACGGTTGTCACCATCTATTTGCATTAGTTTATATCCAGCTGGTCACATTAATGCATTTGTTAGCCAGCGAAGTTGCAGATTTAAAGGGGCCATGATTTTTTAAAAATTTCGTACTGTTCTCTGAGGTTCACTTATGTTATCAAGATTTTTACATCAAAAAACAATATTGAGGCAGGAATGGGCTATTTTCTGTCCTGTTTTGACCCCCTCTCATCGGAACGCTCTGTTTGAATAGGCGTGGCGGATTGTAGACTCAGCAGTGGGCGTTTACTTCCATGATTGTCTAGCAGTTGTATATGTTTGCCCTCATAGATGGACGCTGCTGTGAATTAGGTCAAAACCGCATAAATACTCAGTTCATATCAAACGATCTGTAATAACAGACAAAGCAATAGTGATCACGTAATAAAAACTCACTCGGTTACTCACACTAGTGTGGTCAAATCCAATATAGTCGGCACAGAATCGTCTTTTAATTTCAGTCTTTCAGAAAATCCGGCGTCGAATTGTGCCTTGTTTGTAAACGAATCCGAGGTGAAATGAAGTGAGCAAACGACCTTACTGATGCGGTCTGGAACTTCATTAAAAATAAAGCTAATCCACTCTTTCCTAATGTTGGGATCAGATGGAAGGTTATGCAAAGGCTGTGTTTGTCCAAAATTTGGCACTGCACAGTGTCTTGTTGTCTTCGGAGCATCTTTATCATTTGGTTTTTGTGTAGACCTGCATTCATCTCTCTCTCAGGTGTTGATGATCTTCTGCGGAGCAGTGTTAATTTTGACAGGCATTTTTGATTTAGTCTTAGTCTTTATCTTGAGACGAAAATGCTTAATGGTCTTACTCACATTTTAGTCATTGGAGTCTTCAATAGTTTTAGTCGATGAAAAGTCATTCACTATCGGGGGGGGGGGTACGATGACCTCTTATTTGTCAAAATATTTCTCAGTTCATGACCCCTTTATAGCTGTAACAGAAGAAAGCAAACTGATTTGTTTTTACATTTGAAATGTTGCTTTGTATCATTTCAACTCTTTAGCCAACAGGTTTATTATTATTTTATATGCATTCTTGCTTTTCATTAAATTAACCTACGTGTGTATTTCTCTTAGGGCTGTCTGATCTTAAGTGATGAGCTCAATCATGCATCTCTGGTTCTGGGTGCCCGTCTCTCTGGCGCTACCATCCGTGTATTTAAACACAACAGTAAGTTCTTGCTATTTTTTTGCCCACAGTGAAAAGAAAAATGCTTTGCAAAACAGTCACAACCAGTTAGATAATATTTGATGTTTAATATATAGGATTGTGGACAAATATGAGTTCACAGTGGGTGGCTCAGACATAGAAACTCCCTCATTACTGAACGCTTTTGTTTGCAGAATAAATTAATTATGTGTGATCAGTGTATCTGAATTGGCATTTTGCCACAAAAATCTAATATAATTGAACCTCAGAGGAATAAAATGCAATAATATGCCATACTTTTTATAACCTGATCGCTAAGAACAGCATTCGCAATAACATTAAGATGCCTGCTCCTTTCTAAACATTACTCTCAGATATGCAAAGTCTGGAGAAGTTGCTCCGGGATGCTATCGTTCATGGCCAACCTAGAATCCACCGGCCCTGGAAGAAGATCCTCATCCTCGTTGAGGGAATTTACAGGTATAGCAGAAATCTTTATCTACCTTCTTCACTCTGTATACTTGTCTTTTCAGGCTTGAGCAGAAACCTGATTTGTTTTGTGCAAAGCATATGCAAATGGAGGCTGGTTTGCATACCCTTTTTCTGGTTTGGATGAAGGCCATTTCATTCTTTATGTCATTAACCAACAATAATAATAATAATGATATCATATTTACCACATGTGCATTCATTGTAATGCCAGAGGAGGATAGGATTGGTGTTTTTTTTAATAAAAAGATTTAACATTTTCAAACAAAAATATCTAGTCCTTTATGGGAATGCATTAATAGTACACCTGCATTCTTCTTTTTAGCATGGAGGGCTCAATAGTGCGACTTCCTGAGATCATTGCCCTAAAGAAGAAATACAAAGCCTACCTGTATCTGGATGAGGCCCACAGCATAGGGGCACTAGGACCAAGAGGCAGTGGTGTAGTGGACTACTTTGGCCTGGATCCATGTGACGTTGACATCATGATGGGCACTTTCACAAAGAGCTTTGGTGCTGCTGGAGGATACATCGGAGGAAAGAAGGTTTGTAGCCAATTCTACTGTCAATGGCGTATCACATTAGATTACTACACACACACACACAAGAATCACACATGCTGGTTCGAGTCTGGACTGCTGCCTGTTTTTAATAATGATACAAAGTGACTCCGGCAAAAAATGTGCTTCTCAATATTACATATGCTTGTAATTCAGGATTACAGTATACATTTATCTTAAGTCGTGATTCTTATGTAATCATTTTTATTTATTATTTTGTTTTAATTAATTAATTATTATTATTAATTTTTTTTTTTTTGAAGGACCTGGTTGATTACCTTCGCTTACATTCTCACAGTGCAGTTTATGCTACTTCAATGTCCCCACCCATCACCCAGCAGATTATCACTTCAATGAAGTGCATTATGGGAGAGGATGGCACCACATTAGGTGAGTTTAGAATTTTATTCTGGATCAGTTCTAATAAAGATTACAAAATACTAAAATACTATTTGTACAGTTACCTAATATAGCAGCAATATACACTGCCTGGCCAAAACATTTAAAATTAAAATCTCCATTTGGATTTAAATAAGCAAATACTGAATTTTCTAGGATTGGATCATTATTGCAGTCATGAATATGTTTCTGGCATGTTGTATGTTTGGCAACAATTATTTTAACCCAAACTGATGCAGTGTTTAGCTTTTCATTTCTTGAACAACCATCCCGTGTCCATATTCCAGGATGACAATGCCAAGATTAATTGGAGCCGAATTCTGAAATACTGTTTCCGTGAGCATGACGAATCATTTTCACACATGAATTGGGAGCCCTGAGCTTAACCGTATTGAAGTTTTTTAGGATGTGCTGGAGTCGACTTCACAGAGTGGTTCAACTCTTCCATTGTCAATACAAGATCCTGGGCAAAAATGTATAAATGGATCGAAATAAATGTTGTGATGTTGCATAACTGTGTCAAAACAATGCTACAGTGAAACATGGTTGTTTGAGAAATAAAAAAGCTACGCACTGCATCAGTTAGGGTTAAACAAATTGTTGCCAAACATACAACATGCCAGAAACATATTAATCATGACAATAATGATTCTGTGCTAGACTCTTCAGTATTTGCTTGTTTAAATCCAGAGGGCGACTTTTTATTTTTGGCCAGGCAGTGTAGTAATACTATATTTGTACATTAAAAAATGTGTAATGTTAAAAAGAGCCACAAGATGTCAGCGTTAACTCTACTGTTGTGAAATGAAGAGTTGTGGTTATTTATATTATATCAAATGTTGCATAATGTAACCTGTACTTTGACTTCCATACTGTTCCCCTGTGTACTTTCTTGTGTGTTTACACACACTAAACTTTGACCTGGCAAGCAGTTGTATGCTTGTGAACAAAACACTTGTCATCATTTGAGAAGTGTTGAGCCTCTGTTGAGGCCTGAAATATATTAGTATGCAAATTCAGATAAAAATGCTTGGCCGATGCATTGCAAGCACTCATCACTGTTTCTGTAGTGGTAACAAACTTCTGTACTCCCATGTCTGCATTATTAAATGTGATGTCGTTATTCAGTAAACTAGATATAATCTGCTCCGCCATGACAGTAGTCAATCTGAAAGAAAATAAAAGATTATAGCAGTGGAATCTGAGATTGAGCATTTGCATCAGTGTACTCAAATTCCTTGAACTGCAAGAATATTCCCAGTGTTGAAAAGTATTAATTATCAGCAGTCACACAATCTCTTTTTTTTTTTGTTTGGGAAAAGTAAACTCGATGACTCAGCGATTGGTTACACATGCTGACTCCAGGCAGCAAACTCAGTTTCACCCATGACTGATTTAGCAGGGCGTTCGCTTGGAAAACCACATCTATATCCCAAACACACACACACACTGCATCTGGAAACTCTTCGAGCACTTGTGAGCCTTTAGCGTGAGAAAAGAAGGCCGTACGTTGAATGAAAGAACTCATGTCTGCTATATAGATCTGGGTTGTGCTGATAGACGATAGTATTGTGTATCGACAATAGCAGATGTCTTTGTCGATAGTCAAGATGATATTAGGCTCTTTCTCCTATTAATGTATTAAATTATTATTATTATTATAAATATTATTAGGCGGCCTATTATTATCAAATTGCCCCGCTATTTCACCTCAGCAGCGCACTTCATGCACAAATGAGGATTAGACTTCTCGTCCTCTTTGGAAATGTTTTAAAAACGGACTATAAAACTAAGCCCACATCAAAATTGAACTGCAAGGTGATAAACCTATATTTACAAATTATCTTTTCTTGAACAGCTGTATGAATGAGAGTGCCGAAAACTGCATCGTCATCAGCATTTTGTTTTCTTTACAGCACATCAGGGGTGCCCAAACTCGGTCCTGGAGGGCCGGTGTCCTGCGGAGTTTAGCTCCAACCCTAATCAAACACACCTGAACCACTTAATCAAGCTCTTACTAGGCATGCTAGAAACTTCCCGGCAGGTGTGTTGAGGCAAGTCGGCGCTAAACTCTGCAGGACACCGGCCCTCCAGGACCGAGTTTGGGCACCCTTGCAGCACATTAACAAAAAATATTGATGCATATTCTTCATCATCGTTATTATAAAAATATGCCGATAAGTTATCAGTCTAACAGGGCTCGTCGTGGGGCGCGTGGTCCAGAGCGCTGTATGGCTGATGTATCTATTTAATTTATGGTACTTTTACACGACAACGATGTAGTCAAAAACTGAAAAGTTTTTCCCTTGCGTTTTCAACATTTTCACGTATATATTATTACGTATATTTGCGTTTACACATATCCGCGAAAACGGCCAAAAATGCTGTATTACGTATGCCTGGCCAGTAGTTAGCGCTGTCACCTTGTTAGTAAACTGTATCTGTTGCCGTGTGTATATGATGCGTCTCCGCTGTTGGTTGTAATATTGGTGAAGTAAATCCACACTTTGCTGAAGAAGCATTAGCAAACTCTTAAACTGCAACAACAGTACCATGTACTCCGCCATTGTTGTGTATGTTTGTTCACACTTTAAAATCGACACGTACTGCGCATGTCTACATACCTAACACGTACTACACACGCGCATGACGTCACCGTTTTCAAAGATTCCAAACTTGGGTGTTTACACTGAAACGACAACGGTGGCGTTTTCAAAAACTTGCACTTTGAAACCCGTTTTCAAAAATATCCGTTTTCAGTCCCCAAAACGCCGTTGTCGTGTAAACGAACAGGCAAAACGCATAAAGTTTCAGTTTTTGGCTGAAAACGTTGTCGTGTAAACGGCCCCTTAACTTTACTCCAAATTTATGAACTTAGGCTACCTTTTACAATACTTTTATATTTAACTTGTTCGATTATGTCCAATATTTAGTGTTAAACTGTTGGTCTTTAAAATAAACCTACTTTTGATTTTTACCGTTGGCTGATTTTGCAGACGTTTTAGACTGATAACTCCCATGCCCCGATGCGGCAAACTTGTCACAGGACGCACGGTTCTAATAGTGATGTATGACTGATGTATCCGAATATATATGAACTAGCGGTTTAAAATATTTTTATATTAACATTTTAGTTTATCGGTATGCTTGAAAGTATATTATTTAGATTATTGGTGCTTCCATAGGTCTCACGCATGCGCGGTTTAAAACACCAATAGTTATGAAATAGCCTATGACAAGTACTGAGAGTCTCTTTCTTGCCCCACCCACCTATGCACGATAATATCGTGTATCGGCGATCTCGCAGGCTGGCGATATGACGATATGAAAAATGACCATATCGTCTAACACTAGGTTGGATGCCAAATTGAATTTAACACCGATAAGGCTGTGAGGAATAGATGTATTTTTACAATTTCATGCACTGCATAAATGTCCTAGATCACAATTTGCACAGACTCACAACTTTCCAAAGTGTTTTGGAGTTTTTGTCTGCTAAAAGTTTTTTGTTTTTTCACCTGAACGAATGGTATGTTGTTAAACAACCGTACAATCCATTAAATGCATTGTGCTTTTTTCCCTCACAACCTTGTTTTCATTCCTGTCAAAAATTACCGCTACTCTGACTAAGGTCTATTGGTTCTCTTAGCAGCATGAACATTTTTTTTTTTTATTCTAATTGTGAATTGATTATACACCGAAAGCAAGCAAATAGGGCTTAATAGCAGTCAGTCACTGTTTAGCACAAATTCACTGAGTTTTGCACTCTCACGAAAAACTGTTTTAATTAGGGATGTCCCGATCAATTTTTTTTGCCCCCGATTCGATCCGAGTAATTGAATATTGAGTATCTGCCGATACCGAGTCCTGATTTAATACTTGTATATTCCTAGTGTTTGGTGCACAATTTCATGTACATTAAAGTTATTAAAATCAATCCAATGTATACAGAGTTGTGTAGAGAGTAAAAGTAATATATGTATGTGTGTGTGTGTGTGTATTCTATAAATTGTAAACAAATTATGGTCACAATTATTAATATGGGACTACTGATATAAACCTCTTTTATTTTATACTGTATGTACAATAAGCAGGATAATTGCAACATAAGTCAAGTCAAGTCAAGTCTGCTTTATTGTCAATTCTTCGTGACAGTCTGTGTGTGTGTATTTGGGAGGGGGGAGGGGGAGAGTCTGTCAGAGTTCAGTGGTGCGTGGGGCAAAAGAGGGGAGGGGGGGGGGGCAAGGTCGGGAGGGAGTTCAGCTTCCTGACAGCCTGATGGATGAAGCTGTCCTTCAGTCTGCTGGTCCTGGCCTGGAGACTCCGCAGTCTCCTCCCTGATGGCAGCAGACT